GTTGGGGAGGGGGGGGCGTGGGGGGTGTCCTGGTTATTGTGTGCCTGCGGTGCAGCGCGGAGGCTGCTCCTGTGGGAGCGGGGCTGGGAGCGGGGACCCGGCGTGGGGAGAGTGGGGGCTGCCCCTCCGGGGAGCTCCTCTACGCCTGGGGGTCACCCCCATGCCGGTGTAAGGTGGGGGTACGCGGCCCCTCCCTGACTGAGGTGCCACAGCTGGGGTGAGGGGTGCATCCCAGAGGGAATGGGGGACCCTCTCCTCGTTCCTGCATGGGGTGGGGTGTCTCCTACCTCTTGGGTGGGGTGTGAGCCACGAGCCACCCCCTAGAAATGCCCCTGACTGGGGCTGGCTGCCCTCTCCCTGCCCTCTCCCTGCCAGCCGGGGCTGGGGGGCTGGGGCCTGACCTCCTTATCCCTGTCTCCAGCTTCCCCTGGCTGCTGCATGGAGCCAGGGCCAGCCTGGGACAGGCTATTCACGATTTCCCCACACCACTGCCACCTTTTGATTTGAAGCTTATGCATTTTCTCCTCTTCCCATTTTCTAAGTGAAGAAGGTCGCTTTCATTGTCTCTAAAGTGCTGCTCACCCCCTTCTTCCCCAGGGAGCACCCCTGACCCCAGCGATGCTCCCCAAGCACCAGGACATTGTCCCAGGGTGGGTTTTGTCTGGGAATGGGAAGGAGAGAGGTCCCTGCGCATGAGAGCCCACTGCTGTTCTCACTGAAATTACGGTGTCTTTGGTTAAGGGCTTGGCTAAGGGCTTCGGTAGCGGTGGCGGGGGGTCCCTGCTCTCAGCACCCCATCTCCCCAGGGCCTCCAGGCACTGCCGACTCAACTGACCTAGGCTGGAGCCATTGTCCCCTCCTTGGTGGAAGGGGACAGGCCCAGGGATGCTCCTGTCCCTCCAGGGTCAGCCTGGCTCTGCCAGCACCCCCCAGAGAAGGGAGGTTCCCCGGCCAGGAGGAGTGGGGACTGGGGCGGCACAGGAACGTCCCGGTCTGGTTTGGCTTCCTGGAAGGGGCAGAGGAAAGGAAAAGGAAAGGGGAAGGGATGTGCAGTGGGGTCAGGGCTCTGCTGTCCCCGCTCGCTCCCACACTGGGATTTTGCGGCAGCAGCGAGCAGTAGCGGGAGGGGGAGGCCACGGCTTTGCTGTACATATTTGAGGGAAAAGTCCAGTCCTAGAGGCAGCCTGTGGCTACTGCAATTCTTTTAATACAATTAAAAATCAATGACACTCTGTGCACGCACACAAATAAACATTACCCCTCTGCATCCCTGCTTCCCTGCCCACCCCCTCTTGAGGCTGGTGGGGAAGGCATCTTCTCCAGAGCCTGTTCATTACTGCTCTACTTAGATGGGGAATTGCTTAACCGGTCTCTCTCCAGTAAATCATATTAACTCCAAGCACAGCTATTTATAAAATGTTCCACAGCCCAAGAGTACGGCATTCAGATCACTCGAAGAAAATTAGGCGATTAGGCGTGCATAATCCAAGCCCAGTGCGTCTATGTACAAAGCCTCGCCAGCCGGCCTGCCTTCAGCTATTCACTGACATTAAAGAAATCACGGGCTTTATTGGAAGCCCAGCCCAGGCCCGAGTCCCAGCCAGGGACGGGGAAATAACCTTTTGCAGGGCAGAGCATTCCCGGATGGCTTCTGATGGTTGGGAAATGAAGCCCAACTTGGGAAAGTCTTCCCTCCCCAGCCCTGCTTCATCCCTTCCTGCACAAGGGCCCCTCCAGACACATAAAATGCAGCACTCCAGGCTGGATTTCTCCCCCCTCCTCCTTTTGCGACCCATTAAATGTCTTCTATACATTTCCTCTTCATCTTGTCAAGGCCAGTTGCTCTATGACTGCTGGTTTCCCAGGCAAATCACACCAATTTCTGAGTTGATGTTGAAGGTCCACATTGGCTCAGCAGGGGTCCCAGCGAAGCACTCATCCATGGAGCCGGAGGTCAGGCTCTGCCCTGCTTCGCCAGCTGAATTATTATTATTTTTTTTTAAAGTCGTGTTGCTCTTTGAACATTTACAGATCTGTTGGCGACGGGGATAACAACAATAACCAAAGGAAGGGCGTCCTCGCTGCAGACGTGCTTCTGAGCCTTTCTGATAGGGAGGATGCTAAACGGGATGCAGCTCCTCCACCTTTCTTTCAGCTTAAACTCTTAAAGCAAGAGCTTTTCAGGAGGAGACCAACGGGCTGCACATGTGCAACATCACCAC